GACCTTTGCCCCCAGTGAAATATATTGACCTCCTTGTCTCTGTGCCCCATGCCATGCTCAAAGAGGCGAGGCCCACTTTACTGCTCTGCTGGAAGCAGGAGGTCCGGGCTCAATCCGCAGGGACTGCCTTCCAGGGAAAGCTGTAGACAATGATGCACTGTCCTGCTTAGAAAGGGACCAAAAATATGTCAAGCGCAAGCTCTTCGGGCAGTCCTTCTGCAGGCTCTCTGATCTTTAAGAGTCTTGCACTTCTAGTGAGGTGCTGAGAATGCCACTGCAGACAGGGCAGTGGTCTGAGCCAGTCGGACAGACGGGAACTGTGGTCTCTAGCCTCTGACAAGGGGAAGTGGTGCAGATTCCACGTTTCAACCGCAGGCTCACATGACTGTTCCCCAGTAGGACTTATTGTCCAGTTTCACAGTGCTTTAGATGAACTAACGCACAATCTTGTCTCTTCTGTGTGGATTATTTTAAATCTTCTTGAAGTCAATATTATATTGGTATTTCCAGATCGTACAAATCACAAGAAGAGAAGCCCTTTAATGTGCTTGGAAATGCAATGGCTCAGTAAGGGGACCATAAGATTCTGTGTTCATTGAGATTTTGTGTCAGGACAGGTTTTAAAACTGCACCTAAATTGAAAGATCTAAATATTTAAATTCAACTGTATGTCTTTTCCTAATGGACTCATCTACAGTAGGCCTTGTTCAAAAACACCACTAGGTTAGGTTATCCAGTGACCATTTGATCAGTATTACATAGTGAGCACAGGCGTTTAGTACTGATCAAAACTGTTTGCTTCAGTAAGTAGGTCTGTCTTTGGCTAGGACACAATTTCTAGGCTTTTATCTTAATAATCTATTTTGCTTGTCAGATTGGACTGTACAGAGTAACAACATGACAAACTGTAGATGACAGCTAATAGAACTTATTTCTCATCTGATTGCTTATTGAGACAAACTGGCAGCATTTCAGAGACTTTTTTTAATGGTGTCTGCAGTGTGGCTGTGTTGACTGTTAGGAGGTCTCTTATCCCGAGTCCTGAATGTCCCTTCATTTTATGTTGTTTGGTTGTAAAAAATAAACCCACAACCCAGAGCTGGCTCATGTTGAGGTTGTGGTAGCTGTGAAATCTTTGGCCCACTTTTGGCCACTGCAGCATCTGGGTTCATGATGCAGTTCCTCTAGAAAGCAGGATTATAATCCCCCCCCCCCCGAAATGCACACACTCCCTTCCCCACTGCACTGTGGGCTCTTACAGACAGAGTCTTGTGCGCTGGGCGCCTGGGGCCCAGTTCCTCCCAGCACTTGAATAAACAAGTCCAGTCCGAGTCAGGCCTCTCTGCTCTGACCCTCCTCCCCACAGCCCCTGTTGTTGTGCCCTGGGCTTGTTTTGGATTTCAGGGGAAACGGAGGTCATCAGTTCCAGCTGTTGTTAATACCTGACTCCCCCCCCCCAGCTCAAGTTCCCTCTCTCCCTCATCTCAGCTGCTGGGGCCTGCGCAGTCCTCCAGCAACACTGCTCTTACCCAGCAGCTGGAAAAGAGAACAGGCAGATTCTGCACTTTAAACATTTGGGCGTTTCGGTCAGTTCGATCACCAGTTTCCATTTGTCATCAGGTCTGGACGCTGTAAAACCACTGCTATTTTCAGGTTGGCGAAGCCTGACTTTAGTTGTTTTAACATTGCTCAGTTTGTGCCAGAATCTCAAGTTTGTGCAGTAAAGTTTACCTCAATGTTTTCCAACTATGGTCTTCTGTGACTATTTTCTGATTTTTGCTCCAGCCAATTTCTTAAACTATTCAGAGATAGCCTCCGTGTTTGTGCATTTTGCAGCTCTTAAAATGTTATATGTGTTGTGTAACTGGGATCAATCAATAATCAGCTTCCGAACTTCAGAAATCCACTGATCCAAGCCAGATTTATGGCCTAACTGGACATCTGCAGAAATGCTGCTTATTTGGGAGATGTTTGATACAGTACATAGTCATTCCCACCACATCTGTTCATCATTAACTGATCACCTATTAATAGCTCTTTTGTATTATTTGAATTTATAGCATTAATTTGCTTAATTTATAGCATTAATCTGAGGAGAGAAAGGGTTAGAAAGTTGAAAAGAGACTATTCCAAGTTCTGTAAACTGAAGCTTGAAGTTGGGCGTTTTATGAAACTTGGGACTGAAACAAGTAAATTAAGTGTCTCAACAAGCAAGCAGATCAATCCAGTCATCAACTAGCCCCGGTGATGTAGAGCTCAGAAGCACTGAAAATGGGCAGAGACAGGGGGTCAACCTACCGCTGGTGAGAAACATCATAGCTCAAGGAGCTCTAGTCCCAGAAAACCTGTGACCAGAATCTGAGACCTGCAGCTGAAAAACGGAAAAATAAAAAAGCAACATATATTTGAAAAGTATGATGTTACCATGCCTCACACCCAGTGGGTAAGAACATAAGAAAGGTTCCACACGAGAGGTGTACGTTGAGAGGATGAGAGTTTGTTGAGAGTATGTTAGCATGTCAGAAGATGTCCTGCTTCTCTCAGTCCTTTCCAAGCACTACTGTACCGGGAGTCGCTGCTACACAAACAGGTCCTACAGTAATTGGTGATTGCAAACTGGATGAGTATATGATAAGAAGTGAATACCCAGACTGCTTCCACACAACCCAGCCCCAGTGGGTATCTGCCAGTTGTGGACCATGACCTGCTGGCATTCCAGGCCCAGTCAGTCAATGATATGAACTGGAACTGAACCAGCATCATCAGTACTATAGGGCTCAACATCTGCTCTTAACTGCTGGAGCCTCCAGCAAGCCAGAGACCTTTTGCCCAGCCAGTGTAGTTTAGGATCCCTTTGCCAGCTAAAATTTAAATCCAACCCAGACAGATTCTTTGACTTGTTTTCATAAACAAGTCGAGAGACTTGAAGCAAGGTCCCGGGGGGAATTCTGGGATGGCAGGAACCATTACATTGATGTGGTCTGCCGTCTCAGGAAACGCTCCTTTTACACTGCAGTGTTTCTGAAGAAAGAAATCAGATCATCTTGGAATGAGAAGTTTGCCTTCCCCCATGTTTGAAACGACGCAGACGATGCATCATCGACTGTGATGTATTAACTGAGACCAGTAAATGGTTGCTAGTTAGTCTTTTATTCATGCTAGTTCCTTTGCTTTTCATCAAGCTTTTATTCCCAATTCAACATTTTAACCTCCTGGGTGATCAATAACAGATCAAACTCTGGGCCCCTCTGGGAGAAGATAGTCTGAGTTGAGCCATTCTGGTTTGGCTTTTGCAGCTCACAGACGTGCTCTCTGAAGGAGGCAGCTGGCAGCTTATGAGACATTCCTCACCCACCCCCTGTCCGCACCTTGGCAATCAAAGAGGGGATAGAAATTGTGTTAAGACAGTTAAGACACTCTCATTTCAAATACGCCTTTAAATACATAAACAGTACACAATGACCTTGTGCTTTTGTAAACCACTAGCTTTCATGTCAGCATATTGTGAACACATGTTGTGCAAAAATCAGCATCTTTGCAGTTGGGGAAACCACAAGATGGAGTGAAATCCAAAGAGCTCAATTTAGCACATGGGGCAACCAGAGCTAAATGTCTCCTGGCTGGACTCTCGTCAGTCCTGCAGATGAACGTGGAGCAGTGGGGGTGTAAAGACTGGGCTTTTGCATCAATTCTTCTGATGCATCAGGTCAGGGAGTGTTTGCTGCCTGATGCTTTTCCAATGAGTTTACCAGCATCGCAGCTCTCTTCATGTTTCAGCGCACTTGGGATTGCGAAGGACACCGACTCTCCAAGGCGATTTCAGCTTCACATTTACAGTACTTTCAGGAACTGTGTGAGATTCATTTTAGAGTTCAGTTTTGTCCAGCTTCAGCCAGAGACACTTTTACATCTAGGGTTGGCTTCTAGCTGCTGCAGTTTTTATTTACTTTCGATGTTAATTGTTTTTGTTTTGTTTTTTTTATTTTACACAGGCTGTGCAAGATAGTTCCAAGTCTCTGCAAGGCCATGAACCTCATTCACAATGACTGACCTTTCAAGCTGTGTCATTAAAAGGCATGAGAAAGGGGGTGGGGTTTTGGGAAATTAATCAATGTGTCTGTGGTAGCTATTATAAATTACTACCTTTCTCAAAATAAGTCAAAAAGACAAACTTGAAAGTGTGAAAATGGTAGTAAAATTGAGATTTTTTTGTTTGCTCATGCTTTTTTTCCAACCTGCTTTGTTGCCCCCTATTCCCTTTTGTATGCATGGTTGCATTATTATACCCTAAATATAATAATTATATTACGCCCATTATTATACCCAAATTATCTTCAGGGAAGATCTACCTGTGTGTTTAACAATGTAAAAGTCACTGTGATCGCTTGTCCAGAGAAATTAGCCTCCTTGGCCTTGTCAATATGGTTTTGTGAGGCCAATTTGTTTCCATAAACATGGAGCTATTTCAGTCTCTTGTATGTTTTTTCTTTGCTATTGAATTTTCAATCTCTGCTGTATATACAGATGCTCAGTAATTTCCTCAGAAGAGTTAGTTCTCCCAGCTAGGGACTGAAGTGTATGTGAGCTTGGGGGAAGCTTGGTCTCTGTGAATGTAACAGGTTGTGAGGTGTCTTGATTGACAGCAGATGGGCAGAGTTAGTAGACTTCCTCAGGGACTAGCTGGAGTAACCCTGCAAGATCTCTGGCTGACTGGAATGTGTTTTGTTAATAG